GTTGGTGGACGACCATGGCTGCAGAAAGTGGCTGCGATCTTGGTTGCGGTCTCGTTGACTATCGCCACGGTCGATTCCTTCCGAGTCGCTGAGCGGCAATATGAATATGGGTATTCCGACGCAGAGGCGCTTTCCCAGGAGGTTATTGACGGAATGGAAATTCGTATCGTGCGCGTCATATCGAGCACATTTCTGTGGCTTGCGCAGGTTCAGACCCTGATTCGATTGTTCCCGCGACATAAGGAAAAAGTCATGATAAAATGGGCCGGGTTTGCATTGATTGTGCTGGATACGACTTTTAGTATTTTGGATAATTTTTGGGCGAGGAACTCTCCGACACGACCCAGGCTATACGAAGATGCCATTCCTGCTTTGAGCTACTTGTTCGAGTTGTCGCTTAACCTGCTCTATGCCGCTTGGGTGATTTTCTACTCGATATCTAAGCACCGATACGCTTTTTTCCACCCCAAGATGCGGAATATCTGCTTAGTGGCTCTTCTCTCGCTATGCGCTATTTTGATACCCGTCGTATTTTTTGTGTTGGATATTGCCAAGCCGGAAATTGCTGGCTGGGGTACCTATATTCGATGGGTTGGTTCTGCGGCGGCCAGTGTGGTGGTTTGGGAGTGGGTGGAACGCATTGAAGCGCTGGAACGAGACGAAACCAAAGATGGGATTCTCGGACGAGAGGTTTTCGACGGCGATGAAATGCTTGAAGTCACTCCGTCTGAGGAAGTTGACTGGCCACGTTTCACGGGCCAAGGATACGACCAAGGTGGGGGCAATGGCGCATCATCTGGATGGGGCGGCGTGATGGGTTTGGCACATCGACCTCTACGAGCCCGGGCTGGATTGCCCCGCGGTAATCGAAACAAAAGAGCCGCACCACCACCGCCACACGACCAGGCTGCTACATCGGCGCCGCGGGGCCCAAACGATGACCGGCCTACTCCACCTCCAGCGACGATCACACCGATCAGTCGTGCTGATACTACTAGTGCAGCAAGCACAGTGTACAATGTCCGGTATCATTCAGTGGCTAGTCCTACTCCTCCTGCTGCAATGCCAAATATGCACGAGGAGGAGGAATCGGATGAAGATAAGGAACTCGAAGGCAGGGAGCCGCATACTCCTAATCCAAATGGTCATGCTCTTTCTGTTCAAAACACCCGAGAGCAGTCGCCGCAGATTGTCCAGGCCGATCCGCGATGGCATGTTCTCCTGCATCCATTCAAGAGGCGACGTGCATCTCTACCGAAAGAAGTGGCATCTGCACAAGCCGGAGAAGAATTCTCAGAACACAGAGCATCTGCAGCAGCAGAAGAGGCCGAGGCAGAAGCAAATGCTGCCCGGTCTCGAGCCGATCACTTCTTTTCTCTCCACCGGAAAGCCCGACTGGGCACTGGACTACAAAATGCCGACGGCCCTTTACCAGTCACTGTTATTCCAGCACGTCGTCGCGGCCAACACACGTGGTCACCACAAAATCGACTGCTAGAGGACACCCGGCCACCGGGAGAGAGCCGGCCAATGCAACACCCTCAACATCATGAAACGCCTTCCAATCGTCCTAACTTACCTGTGCGGGTGATTCCCTCTCGACCACAAGCGTCTGCTCCATGGACGGAGGCAGACGTAGAGCGAGGAGGTGGAGATTATGTCCTACACTATGACCCGGAAGCTGCGGCGCTGGTCAACGAGGACATCAGCCATTTGGATCGCAATGATCGCAATGATCATGTCACAGATTACGACCAACAAAGTTGGACAGATACGACATACTCGGAAGAAAGAAACGATGTGTCAGCGGAACAGACTAGGCCACCCGATGCCGAATCCCACCCTGAGCACGGACCTTCCAACGAACAGCATGGTTCTTCATAGAACGCCACTTTCGGGCATAGCGTGTGTGAGATGCCACATATTTGGGCATGGTTAATCGAGGGTGAGCAAACCAGCCCCTGACAGGCAGTCATTTTTGGTCATTTTTGGTCATTTTCATTGGTATTGGAGTATATGGATTTGATATTAGCTGGAAAGGTGTAGGATTTCAACATCTTAGAAAGATACCCCATTATAATTTTGAGATTGAATATAATATTGCATATATCCCAGGCCTATGTAACTACTTTGTCTGTATAGGCTACTCTTAGTCCTTTTAGTTCTTTTAGTTCTTTTAGTTGACAATCAACGATCTCTGCTTGGCTCCTAGTGGCTTACCAAGAGGCTTACAAAAGTGGAGACGAAATTTCACTCGGAAAGTCACCATCCCGGTGCCCTTTTCCCCATATCCTTTGTATCCTTATGTGACACCTTACGTTAGACGTCGCATCATGGCGACCGTCAATAGAAATATGTTCGGAGCGAGCATAACTGAACCACCTGGAGGTGCCCAGTTGATGGTTCTGCCGTTGAATCTCATCGCGGAGATTGTGTCACATGTGAGGGAGCTCCACACATATCGCACTTCCACATATCTAACATGTCGTAGGTCGACAACACAGGCGATCTTGCCCGGCTATGTCGAACATGTCGGGTCCTCAACTATATGGCGCTGCCACAGCTATACCGGAACCTAACGCTGACCTCCTACGACAAGATTCGTTATCGTGGTGAACAACCAGAAGGAATCGGGAGCGCCAGTCCCTTCACAATGGGATTGAATGCGATTATTACACGATCTTATGCGACCCTAGTACGATCAATAACACTACGCGGGGAATGGAAGGAACATGAGTTGGAGGAGCATGCCCGAGTCGGCCGGGTGCCCGACGCATCGATGTTGTTGAACATCGCCGCCCGCGCTGCGATCGATCGCATGACTAATCTGGAAAGTTTCCATTGGGAACTGAACACCAAAATGCTCGACACGGTTATCACAGGCTTGACACAGCTGCCGAAGCTCACATCACTGACGATCCGCTTTCCATCCAGTCGTCATCCACAGCCCACTTTCGTGATTCCGGGCATGCCCCATTTGCGATGCCTGAAAATCACCGATATAGACCCGCTTTGCTACCCCGATGATATTGCGACTCTTCTTTGTAAAAGTAGGAAACTGCGCGAATTGAAGTTACATTGGTCACCACGGATGCGAGATGCACACGAGCCTAGCGTCTCGTTGCATGATTACTTCCGCAAGCTGATCGCAAGCAAGCAGCCCCTGGCGGTTAAGAAGATGTCGTTCCAGAATCTATATGCCTTCCACACTGAAGATTTCAACTTCGCTTTTGATCCGACTACCGTCGAAGATGTCACATTCCTCAGTGGTGTTGAGGGCTCTAGTCTGGTCAATACATTTATCGAGAGCAGCTGGCCGACAGTCCCGCCCCATGCTAAGCTCCGCATGAAATCCGTTCGACTAGATGCAGTGTCAAAACGGAACTCGGAGTTCATCGGGAATTTCTCTGGACTCGAGCGCCTATACTTTGTCAATGTCACATCGGAATCAAGTGACCTGCTCAATTCCCCACGACCCGGAGGGGGCGCTGTCTCATCGGCCCTCACGCCCCCAACATCCGAACACCATTTATCTGGTGCGCCTAGTGGAAACGCAACCAACTCCCCTATCACTTCTGCTTCTCCAGCTAGCCAGCTCAACGCTATAGCTAGCGTACGAGATCTCTACCTTTCACACATTACCACGAATCATGGCGCGACATTGCGCCACCTCCTTCTCCCATCCAAATGGCCTCTCTCCACCGGGATGATCGCGCGACTCGTCCACAGCTGTCCGAACTTGGAACAGGTCGCCCTCGCCACCGAATTCTCCAGCATGGAATCACTGGGTCTACTAATACCTTTCCTCCGGAAATTGAAAGCAATCCGACTTCTCATACCCCAATCTTCCGGACAGTCTACAAATGGACCTGCGAATTCTACACTAAAGCTATCCCCACCACGAGGTGCATTGATGTCCGATATAACCAAAGCGATGCAAGAGACATTCGCGAATGCGAAGACCCTTGCAGAAGTGGTAGACATGGATGACTCAATCTTGAGTAAAATGTTGAGTTACGACCTCGGAAACAAGCAAGTCTACGGAAACGTGAAGCTCATCAGCATGGGCTGGAAAGCCTGGGAACTGCGGGACTTCTACAAAGACCCCATCCCACCCGGGACCAATAAAGAATGGCCATCACCAACAAATGGCGATAATGCATCCCCGGAGACAACCACAGATAGCCCCACTCCCACGCAAGGTACCCACTCCGCTGGACTTTTCACACCATACCAGCCTGTCGTCGCCCGTAAGTCACCCGATACACAGACAACACATATACCATCTTGGTCGAATCCTATTGGCACACGACACAGCCCCCTACCGCCATCAACATTAGGGAAACGATCGCGCGATCAAGATGAGAGCGAAACTCCCAGACCACAAACCTGCGGGTACATCGATAGACGCGACGAAAGTGAGGATGTTGCGGTTTTCCGCGATGCATGCTACCCGTACACCTTAACCGATGATGGGTTTGTGTGGAGACGGCGTGTGCGACGGGTAGGATGGGAGGTTCTGCAGAATTGGGAGGTGTGGGCGTTGGACGCGCAGGAGATTTGAGATGGTTGTCATTTTGCATTGTTGCGTTACGATACAAAGGAGTTTGGCATACCAATGAGCGGTGTTCGCTTTTGACCCCAGGGTCTGGGGGTTCTGGGGCGGTTTTAGTTTAGAGTCAAAGCGGGCTATGTCCTGTACTCTCGGCGTTGGGAAAGTATATATATACTACATATGGGGATATCTCCTCTCTATGGGGCTTATGCCCCTCTTATTTATAAATTGTATTTTGGATACATATACTAATAGAGGAAGAACGGGAACTTGGTTCATTCAGACTAAGCTATAGCTGCTTTCTTAGGTGTGCAGGGATGTATGGCTCTTGTGATGTTCAACCCTGGGTGTAAAGATGATCAATTCTCCATAGACTTTCCTCATTCGAAGCCAATGAGCACTCTGTGACTCTATAACAGCCTGAATAGGCTGAGAAACAGCTGGATCACTCATTTCCTGGGCCGGCGGTTGCTCGGGACTGTCTCTTTTCCCTTTGCCCAACAACATCGAGGTCACTCATGGTTGCCTTCAGAGTAACACCACTCTTAATGGATTCCCATCCTCCAATGAGGATCATATATACCACCTTCGGATCGGACCTCATTGGTGATTCTCCGCCATGGGCTTGGAAATCACCAGCCATACCCGGCTTTGTGATGTTTTGGTCTTCGTTGTCACACGACACCTCCATGCGAAACATCGCCGCAACTTGGACCTGGGAGGGAACTCGAGAGGGAGAATCGATTGAAACCTGGTTGTTCGCATCGAAGATCCTGAACCATGGAGTATCAAATTGCTCCTGCCTTCCCACGCATCATGATACCCTGCAAGAGATGTGCCGTGGAAAAAGCGACATCCATCGGGGCAATCCTTGACCAAGTGCAGTTGTACATCATCCCACATGTTGGTAACAGCTGCCACTCCACGAAATGATCTCATCCCGAGATCTCGGCTCGTCTGCGTGAGGTGAATAGCTTGAAGGGCTAAGAGAAACAGTGGCCTATTCCAACCTTTGTTTCTTCCGTCTGGTTTGCCCTCTGAGGGACTTTAACCTTTGTTCCTGGCAGCCACTTCGGATGTGGTGGTCGTTTGATCGACATCATCAATGGCTTATCGATCATAGGAACAAGCCATGTATATCGAATATTCCCGAATACTGGATATCGTAATGCATGTAGGCTTCGAGGCAGAATTTAGATCCCCCTGCCTGGTTGTTTGGGTCCGACAGTGGGTTCATACTCCGTTTTGTTAATTGAAAGGGCTCTACGTAGCTCTTTGCGCTGGCTTCGACGGCTCCGAGCAGTATGGCCCGGTGGTGATAATCGGAGCCGATTATGTCAATTGTTTTGGGCTGTGTGCTTTCAATATTGTAGGCCGTGCCATGTGCATGAGTGTAGCACTGACGCTTGATGGTCCGTTGTATGTTGACGAATGACTTTGACACGACGATTGGTCCCAGCGTGAAAATGCTTGCGGAGCTTTTGACCGAAAATAACAGGGCTTTTCTGGACGCGTCTCTCTTAGCCATTGTAATTGCAACATGTGAAACGGCAGGAGTAGCCAGTTTTGTAAAAACAAGATTCATTGAAGAATGCGGGTGGCGGCTCGGGACAGTGTTGGGGGTTTCCCCTGACCCTTGTGAGCTCCATCTACTACATGCGGCGGGGAGCTCACTCGGTCTTCGCGGCATCTAGCTCGTAGAGTAGCTCTACGGCTGGGTGGTGTCTTCTGAGTGGGAGGTAGAAATGCGAAAATTTGAACTGCGCATCCCATGCTCTGCTGCGCCTATCCCCTTGGATATCTTAAACACCATGCGCCTCGATGAACTGGCCCGATTCTGGAAACATTCATCGTCTCCTTTTGTGGCTTTCGGGAAGTCGTTGAAAAGGACTGAGGGCATAATTTGCAATCATCTGATTCACGTTCTGGTTTGTTTTCGTCGTCTTCCTGCAGTTTTCAACCCAATTCTCCCTTATTACGCAAAAGGCATCCAGCTTCATTTCTCGACACTCGGTAGCTTTGTGTTGGACTGTAGGGCCGTGTTGCTCGCAAATCCTGTCGAGTGACATTCTCAACCAAGCGCCTGCCACGAGAATTAGTATATGCAGCAATTGATTATATGCGAAGACAGCATAAAAACTTACAACTTGCACATGGCCGTGTGGGATAAGGGGAGATATGCGTCGCCTTGAGTCGGAAATGTTTCTCGTTGACTGTGTTGTCTGTAGTGGTATGCCGTATTGGATAACATCCGGACGAGTTCATATCATTGTCCCAGGTGTCAGTGTTGATCATGAGGTGTACACCCCAGTTGTGTAACGAAGTTATCCCTTTGGTGATGAATATCAAAGGTTGGACATGTGCCCAAGCTAGGGGAGCTGGGTCTTCGGGTACTCAAGTCGCTCCAGAATGGCCATTTCTGTCGAAATGAGCAGGATATTTGGCGCCTCTGTCATCCCCAGTCAAATGTTTGATCGCCAGATACGCATTCCCGTTAGATAGTTTGACGCTGTTCGGCGGTTCGACCCAGTTGCCGTCGGAGTTGTATCTCACGTCGGTGTAAAGGTCCATCGATGTCGTCGGGATCCTAGATCTTTCTGCTCCCATAAAGACCTTGGATGTGAAGGACTCGTCAATGTCGTTGTTTGGGTGGACGAGTCGACTTGCTGTCGATGGTATCCAGGGGATCGCGGTTCATAGAAAGAGCGTGCTTTCCAAGAGATGGGAAGGTGTGGAATTAGACGAAGATAATGTCATCGTATCGTCAGCTCTTTTTATAGGTAAAGCCATCAATTTCTTCAGGCTCGAGACTGTCCTCCCCCTGGACAGAGACCGTATATCATATAATTGTGTTACCCCCCATTTCATAAGACGATTTTCGAAGCAACGCTCATAGCAACCCACCCTCGGAAAGGCCCAAATGCGGCGATCTCAGATCCGAGAAGGCTCATCGAGGAGATCGAAGGCCAGAATTGAACGTTCGGACCAGCACTGCTTAAGGATCCGTAGGGCTGGGTGCCGACGAGCGAAGCTTTGGACAGCCTTGTCGGAGACAAGGACTTGGTGTCCGATCTCGACTTTCTCGAGATTCGGAAAGAGAACCTACGAGAAAGAATCAGTACAAAGCTTTCATCAAAATAGCTGTGGCAGAAACATACCGAAATCCGCCTGAACAACTTTGCCCAATCTTCGGGCAATCCGTGGAGAGGCCATCTCCATTCCGGCTCCTTGCCGCCATAGCTGCTGATGGAGAGGACGGTGACCGATTCGCCCTGGATGCGCGGGATATGAGCGCCATCCATAAGGGTCCGAATGTCAGAGTCGCGACTGCTCCCTCGCAAGCACAATTTCAGTACCCGCAGCTTTGGGAAACGAACATCCCGCAGCGCGGCGTCAGCAGCACGGGCGCCCCCGGCGTCGATGGTGACCAGCGAGGCTCGCTCAACATGGTCAGCGTACTGTTGGCGGAATTGGGCGGGGACCTTTGCGAAGATCACGTCAAGTGAGCGAGGCACGGCTGGCGTGTCCATCGCACCCATAGTGTTCTTCCAGGTTCGTTGACGTTGGATTATCTCTGTGTGCCACGCCCGGTTCAGCGAGGCAAACTGCCAGAGATAACCCGCCTGGTCCTCCACATAGGGCTCCTGCTTGGTACCCAGGCCCATTTGCCAGGGCCGATACTTCGTTGGCCTCACCCACTGTTTCTTTCTCCCGATGCCCCCCGACTTCTCGTAGATGAAGTCGTCCAGTCCCCGGACCTGCCAGTGGACAATCTCAGAGACCAGCTCTGGAATGTTGAAAACTCGCTCAGCGGCGTTTCTCTTGGTGATGCCACGCGACCAGCGCGGGCGAAGAGTTCGTCGAGAGCGAATTGGAGCCATCGTTGATGATGGAGAAGGAAAAAAAGGGTTGGAGAGGAGCTATATGAGGTTTTATATCTTTCTTCGACTAAATGCCTACATTATGAACAGCTATTGTGGTTTTAGGGAGGTATAGAAGTAGAACAATAGAGAATGAGCGAACTGATAAGAAATGAACTTTTATGTGAAGTGGAAGTGATATTGTACGATGTTATTGTCAAGAGGATCAATAGATTCAATTATATTCAAACAGGATTAGCCAGTGAGTAATGGAGTAATTGTAGAAGAAGATGAGAGTGCAGTCAAAGTAATCGAGTATTGAGAGACCAGCAATGAATAAGGATGAGACCATACACAATGAGACATATGTTATTGAGGAACAATAGATAATACATACATGTACTAGTCACTAATTCTTCAATTCTCAAGTCAGAATCCCGTTCGTCTCCAGGGAATCCCGACTGGGAAGACATAATGTTTTAATCGGACTCCCTATCTCTCTGATAAATCTATGTATGAACCATTAGATGAAGATGAATGTGAAGTTATTTATTAGATAACTTATGTCTCAGCCATTTCTAAATGTCTAAGGTAAATGTTTGAATCACCTCCTATCTCAAATTCGTTCACGGGATTGCTTCCTAGCAGTCTGATGAGGGACGTGACAACTCCTCCCGTGGGTCTAAGAGCCATTGCATATTGGAGATTTGTCTCCCCAAGGCCAGGTATCAAATTCTGTTTATAGCATAGCAATAAGTGAGTGTAATCAAGGAGTTAGGAGACCGAAATAACTAACAGAGATGGGCTGGAAGATCAAATCCAAGTTGGTCTCTCCTTCGAACTCAGTCGCACATCACTGGAAATACGTCCTATTAGACTCGGAAAGGCTAACAAGATGAAAATTGCTTGGGGTGGGGGTTTTCGCGAAGATTCTGGTCAATATAGGAAACACGAGCCCATGGAGCACGCCGTTCTCCGCAAAGGCGTCCTTTCTAGACCGAAAGAGGTAGAAGACCAGTACCCAATCCACGTAGTTAGTGTAGTATTGACAGCGTTTGGAGCTGAACCGTTGCCATGATTATATCGAGGGAAGACCGAGGGTGACGCCAGTGTAAGGGAATAGCCTTGCTATACCGGCGGCTATTCACCAGTGACCATCTCAGCAAGTCGGAATGGTGGGACGGTATTTCACATTCGCTGCGAGTGTTTTGGGCAAATATTATCTTAGGAAGCTTAAGGGCTGGGATGCGGTCTCAGGGTGGGTGGAGGATTACACTTGAGAAGAGCGGGTGCCGTTTCTTCAAGCGTCGAAGTGCATAGGGAAACAGACGAGGATGATCTTCAAATTCCAACTTTTTCAAACTAGGGTACTTGTCCTAAGAATAGTCAGCGAGGGTTGTATTGTGACGAGCAGAAGGAGCACATACTGGGAGGTCCCCAAAGTTCAATTCCCGATCATCAGGGCCGAGGGGCTCACTCTCCGTATCCTTATTACCATCCCAATCCTCAAAAATTATACGAAGATTGGGATAGTTCAGGCAGGGAAGGGAACGTTCTCCCCTCTTTCCCGAAGTGAACAGAAAATGAGGCTATAGGATATATCATACCCTACTGATCAGAGGCGTGGGCAGAATCAAGAAGTAAAAGAAGTAAAGATCAAGTCTAATCATAAGTATAGGGCGCGGTCTGGGCCCAGGGGTTGTTCAAAATCAGAATACTTTCCTCTCAGCTACTGAGCTTTGAAATTTATGAACTTAATAAACATGAAATATTGACCGCACAAGAAAATCCACTGCTTCCATGTCCGGTACCCAAAGATAGATACGGGCTGAACATCCCGGTTGAGATTACCTCCAGAGCCAACCGACTTACACTCGATGTTTTCAACACGAAGTGTTCTCAAAGTACAGATCTAACAGGCGTAGCACCGGCCGAACTCACAGCGAAATCCTTACCACTTATACCATAGATTACATGTGTTAGGCTTGAGAATTTAGTAATTTAGTGAATACACTCTATAATCTATTTGGGCCTTCAAAGTCGGGGATCGAATCCAGCCTTAACCTGATTGGATGATTTAACCTTCCAACATCCATGGATGCCCGAGTATAGAGATGTAATCGTATTTTCCGATGTAGGGAAATGTTGACACCTCGTACCTTTTTCTTTTTTCTTTTTTTTTTTGCTTTGATTTGATTCGATTCGTTTTCAGAACTGATTGGGTGGCGGCTACGCGGGTATGAGACAACTTCCGCTTTTCCGACTTGGTGGGGGTTGAACCCCCGCTTACCCGCCAAAGGAGGCCATCAGATTGGACTTTTGAGGTATTGCGAATTTCTAGATATTATGGCCTAAATAGATGTTGGGTCACGTTGGGATATCTCGCATACTTAAAAGGCAGTAATTGTCCCCTGATTTCGTCCACTCGAGTTCAATCTAAAGGTTTACGGTTCTATTTAGAGAAACAGCTACCATGACCACTGTCACCACCACTACTCCGCCTCTCAATCAATCTTCTTTTGAGTGAGCTACCTATGTTACCCTGTGCTAGACAACAAGGACTAATGGAGAACGCTAGCCTGACTGGTCCATATGGAGATTGGAGAGACGACCTTCATAACCAGGGCTATGTCGTGATCAAGAATGCTATCGACCCAGAAAGGGCCCAAGGCTATCAGCGCAAAGCCCTGGACTGGCTCAAGTCCTTCAGCCCGGCCCTCGACCTTGACGATCCTTCTACGTGGATCAAAGACAACTTGCCGGTCCAAAGCAAAGTGAATACATTCAATGGGTATTCCGTCACCCATGAGAAATTCATGTGGGATGCTCGCATGGAACCGAAGGTATTGGAGGCGTTTGCCAAGCTCTGGGGTACCGACGAGCTACTCGTCTCGTTTGACGCATTGAACGTCACTCTACCGAACCAAAAAGATAAGCCTGCTCAAAAGCCATGGCCCCACGTGGACCAGTCGCCGTTCCGTCGCGGGCTCCACTGTATTCAGGGCATTATCAACCTAAGCCATGCGGGTCCCGAAGATGGATCCCTGATGGTGTTCCCGAGGTCGAACACCGTCACCGAGGGGTTCTTCGACACCGAGACCGATCCATCCACCTGGGAGCAAAAGGACATACGCTTATTCAGCGAGGAAGAAATCAAGTGGTTTGAAGATCGTGGTATGAAACCATCCAAGGTGCTCGCAGAGCCCGGGGATTTAATCTTATGGGATTCACGTACTGTACATTGGGGTGGGGAACCAACAGTCCACAGCGACACGATTCGAACGGTGATTTATGCATCATATGCCCCTTTGGAGTTAGCCACGGAAGAGAGTTTGAGGCGGAAGCAAGAAGCCTTTGAATCTTACCGAGCCACGACTCATTGGCCACACGAGAATATAGTTATACGCGATGGAGTGGTGCGTCTCCCGGATGGCAGTGTTGATCCCCGCAATCGATCTATCCCGTTGGAGGTGCCAGAGCACACAGATCGGTTGCTTCAACTAGCAGGTGTAAAGTCTTATCGGTAAATTAATAGAATTCTTTTGTGTTTTTTTGCCTGGTTTGGTGTCCACCTGGAATTAAATCACACTTTGATTATTAAGGCTAAGACTTTTTTGGCGTTTTCCTGACGACCCCGCAGTGAGCCTTTGACGTCGATCTTCCGTATTGCTCACAAGGCAAATATGAAATCATTTGAATCTCGCCCTCCCGTTGATTATCCACGGAAGCGTGCATCAATCGCATGTAATTTCTGTCGACATCGGTACGCTTTAAATTTCGCTTTTTGAACCCGGTCACTAAACGTAAACAGGAAACGAAAGTGCGATGGTCAAAAGCCGACATGTGGCCTTTGCACTGATGCGGGGGCTCAGTGTGTCTATCAAGAAAGCGACAGGTAGAAAACGTCAAGACTCGTGCAAAGGGTTCCTAGATAGTGACGATCCATAGGGTGCAGGATATCCCAGCTGAAATCCTGCTTCGCTTGACCCATCTGGAAACCCTGATCGAGCAACAAAAGGACGCCATCACCGAGCTCTCAGCCCGAGTAGCCTCTTCCTCGGATCATCCAGCTCGGTCGGCCCCCTCTATCTATTCGTCACAGCCAAAATACGACTGGGATCCATCATCGGAACATGTCTACGATAAATCCTCCTTCGGCCTCTTTTCGCCCGAGAACACATACGGCAATGAATATGCATTTACTATTCCTTTCGCTCATCATACGCCAACAGGAAGCCTATTTGCGTTGGATCGAATCAAGAATCTGGTTGGCGACTACCCCCAAGACTTTTTCAAGCAGATAGAGAAAAAGCGACCATTCAACAGCATCCAGGTCACAGGCATACCTCAGGCATTTGAACAAATCGACAGATCCCGACTGCATCCCCAGGTCACCAAACCTCTGATCACCGAGTTCCTCCACCATGTCCATCCATTCTTCCCCATTGTCGAGCCGCAGTTGTTACATATGCTCTTTGACACCTTCTCAACATACACCAAGGTCAACAGCATCCAGACTTCACTTTATCTCATCATTCTGGCTCTGGGGAAGGTCTCCTCGAATCCTCAACGCATTTTTGACATCGAAGCCGACAAAGATCTGAGTGGGATGGAATATTTCGCTTCCGCATATCACTACCTGAACAACCCGTTGATAACGTCCTTTACAGCGGACCACCTGTTGCCTTTGGCTTTATTCTACGGCTCGATTTATCTACGTTACATAGGACGCCCAATCCAAGCCTGGCAAATGATTCACGATGCGTCCGGTAGTGTGCAGATCATGATTTCCGAGTGAGTGTCTTCTCCAATACATATTTCCGCCGAGATATTGATATGAATTGGATACAGACTACACGACATGAACACGCATGAAGAGAGAGCTAGTCTCTACCGGATTGCTTGGGGTTGCTTCATTCTCGAATGGTTGGTATACTCTCTGGGATAATCTTGCATTCAACTAACCACCTCGACCCAGTGACGATCTCGCAGAGTTTCATTTCCCCCCCAGTGGCATTGAACTCCTCGTCGACAGATTGCCCTTTCCTCGAATTTCGGAAGATAGCCGGAATGGCCACCTTGTTTTCCTCGCAATGTGCTCCATTCGAAAGCTTCTCAACCGTGTGCACAGTGCTCTCTATGCAAAATCTGACCAGGATAATTTCCATGCCAGCCCCCCGCCTCAACACACAAGTGATACCCCCAGTGCAACTCCCCAAAAGCATTCGATTACATCTCTTAAGACAATTAGCGAGGAACTCGATCGTCAATTGGAGGACTGGTTTGGCTCGCTCCCAAATCCCATCCGGCCAACCCTCGGCAATACAATATCCGCAGATCACCCTTATGACACTTACATTCTCGCCCGGTACTATGCCACAAAACACATCATCTGTCGCCCGAGTCTAATTTTTGCTGCCCACACCCAGGGCAGTACGGTATTGCCAGAGTTCGTTTTCGCGAATTGCAAGAAGTGCGTCGATAGCTGTCGCAAATTCATATGGGCCGCATCGATTCTTATGCGGCAGAGAACACACGGAAACTGGCACACAATGCAATCGTAAGATCGTCTTTCTACTTTCAGGTGGTTTTTGACCGGTTGAAGTTCACTTACTTATTTTACACATCTAGAATGCTGGCTGCCATTTTTACTCTCTCAACTGCGAAAACCACTCCGGCTTTAGAGGCCCTCGTTCCGGACTTCGACGAGCTAGTGAAAGAAGCAATTCAATGCATTGAGCTATGGGCGGGGCATTGCGAAACAGCAGATACAGTCATCAGCATGTTGAAGACAACCCGCCAGAAAGTGCGAGTATTAGTTCGGGGAGCTTAGTAGAAAGCCTTTCGATCTATACTTGGGTAGATGTACGTATTTTGTTACTTCGCATTTCCATGTATATTTGTGAATTTGAATGCGCTGGAATATCAATTTTAGCCTACTGAATATATTGTTGTTTGAAAGTCATCCACGGTGGGTTTGTTATCAGTAAAAACCCCCCACGCGCTGCGGGGGACTTCGGGAAAGGGTTCAACCCAAACAACACTTCACTTGCTCAATAATATGTCTCCACCACGACTGACGAGCCAGATTAATTCCATTCATGGTGTTCGACTCGCAGGGGAGCCGTCCACCTGGGATATCCAGATTGGATACCCTGCAGACTCCCCACAGGGCACAGTCACCTCTGTGACCCCGCATGAACCCTCTACTAAGGATGAGTTCGAGTCTCCTCTAGCCCTACCAGCTTTAACACACCCTCACATTCACCTGGATAAAGCCTTTATCCACAGCGCACCTGAATATGCCCCATTTCTACCTACAGCTGGCACGTTCCAGGAGGCTTTGACCTCCACGACCAAGGCTAAACAACAATTCAGCCATGCTGATCTCATTAGAAGAGGAGAGTGGCTTCTTGCTGAGTCTGTTGCATCAGGTGTCACTGCAATGAGAGCGTTTGTGGAGGTAGACCATACAGTGCAGCTGATCTGTTTAGAAGCTGGGGTTGCATTGAAAAACCAATGGAAAGATTCTTGCGATATCCAAATCGTCTGTTTCGCGCAAGATCCTATATTCTCTACTGAACATGGAGAGCAAAACATGGCCTTTCTGGAAACTGCTCTCCATAAATATTCGCAAATCGATGTTATCGGGACAACACCATACGTCGAATCGAGCCCCGACGCTGCAAAGGAAAACATTGAATGGGCGATTGATCGTGCCTTGCAGCTGAACAAACACGTCGACTTCCATCTCGATTACAACCTCGATTCAAACAAAGAGGCCCTAGTTTGGCATGTCTTGCAAACGCTCAAACAGCGAAGTTGGACTACCCACTCAACAGACAAGCGTGTCATGCTTGGTCATTGCACACGGCTGACACTGCTCACGGAGAACGAATGGGCCCGACTGGCAACTGAAATCCACAAGAATGAACTCCCAGTCAGCTTTGTAGGTCTTCCAACAAGCGATATGTACATGGCGTCACCTCCCAGAACGAGCGGGGACTGCAACCTATCACAAGAGCGCCCGAGAGGCACTCTACAGGTCCTAGAGATGATCCAAAAATACAATCTGGATGCCGTGATCGGGGTGAATAATGTCGGCAATTCATTTACCCCATGGGGTTTGCCTGATCCGTTATCGTTAGCTTGTCTCGGCGTGGGAATCTACCAGGCTGGAAGCCAGGCGGATGCAGGGTTACTCTATGAATGTGTTTCGACACGAGCCAGGGCGGCTATTGGGCTCTTACCATCCCATTCGGGTCTATGTGTAAAGCAGGGGTGTCGACCGGACCTGTTGGTGGTTCATCATAGAGATGACACTGGGTGTGGTGTGTCTCGGCCGCGAACAAATATTGCAGAGGTTGTGTGGACTCCGCCGGGGAAATTGAATAGGGATGTGGTTTCTGGTGGACGACTTAAGATTTCGCCTTTTGCTGCGGAGTCAGACGCTCTGTATCGATTTTGATTTTTGTTTTTCATACGACAGTGGTCATCGAAGAAAGTGGGTTATATATGTACATAACGGTCAATGAATGGGATCAAACATCCATGCGCATTTGGCGGTTAAAGATATGAATCAACGCATTGCAGCGAGCAATGGCATTTCGGACCTTCAAAGATCAGGCAAAAGAGAGACAAAAGACAGGACTAATCGGTTGTCTTCGGCCGCAGAGCATAGAATTGCACAGGCAAGAGATTAAAAGAAGGCGGGAATCCCTTCTGGAGTTCCGACTTGACGATCTCCATGCCAGCCGCCTCGAAGACCTGTCTGAATTTCGCATCTGTCCTTGTGACACTGCTATCTTCACTGTCGTACATATCCTGCCCGGAGAAATGGGTAGACAAGTTCTCCTTGAGAACCATAAGACCGGTTTCGGTCAACGCCTTGCGACACCGCACGGTATAGTCAATGAGTTGTGCATCCGTGAGGTGGCCCACGCACCATTGGACCCAGATCAAATCGTATTTCTTCTCTGGGGTCCAATTTTCAAGACCACGCGTGTAGATGGTTCCGATGACGCCATCTCGTTTCAATTGGCTGTCTTTCATGACTTGTGTGAACTTGGCTACCGGCTCTACCGCATCTACCACGTTACAGACATGGCTCAGGAAGCCCTCTGTCACCCGGCCGACGCCAGCGCCGCAGTCCACACCCTGGTGGAATTTGCCTTCAGATTGAACGCCCGGTATTAAACGGCGGATCTTGGCTAGGAAGCTTTTAGACCCTTGTAGGTCAATGCGTGACACTGAAGGAAACTCGCCCAGCATGCTACCCGTGGTGGCTGGGACGCTGTTCCAATATTTTAAGGACTCGGCATGATTGATTTTGGAATCGGCTGTGGTGTTTGAATCTGTCATGTTGGAAGGTTTGACGCTGCTGGCCTGTAGAATTGCTTATCGGAAATGATTGTAACATCTGTAAGAGGCAGGAAGGTCTCAGGTGATGATTAGATCACACAATCAATGTCTATCTCAATCACGTGACCATCCAAATGCAACATCGTCCGACGTTTTACAGTACTTGGGCACTTCGAGGTGCTTGTGCTTATATGCATACTTTATCGTGATTGGTTCCTGTTTCATCTTTGTCTCAGCGCTAGAGTTATTTCCCTGAATTCTTGAGTTCTTGGCAAATTGACTTTAAATTGACACTAATTTGGCCTCATAAAGACGTGATACGGCTAGACAAGAAAAAGGAAATTAAAAGAAAATTAAAAGAAAAGAGAGACAGTGGGCTGTGCTATGATCGACAGGGATACACCAGAAAAAAAATCTCGATCTTCAATACCCTGAAACTTGAGCTCAGGGACTGGGGGATTACGTGGACTTGAACACTGAGGGGACACACCCGTTGAAACGGCCCTGTGATTGGAAGTGACCGTAGCGTCTCCATAAGGGTGTAAACTGCCGATCGTTCATAAATCGTTTCTTTCCCCTTATCTCCCCTTCAACCACTTTTTTCCTACTCACCACAGTCATTCTTTTATACTGTTTTTTTGATTTTTCACCATGGCAAACGGTCGCTCGTCACAGGATGAGCGTAAGCTCGAGAGTGGCTCTGAAGCCCCCAAGGACAACGGCCTCCACCCCGGCTTCTACATTGCGTACGTACCAAATCTACGGGACCCCGTTGTCTAAGAATTAAACTAACACTTGACTTTTTAGCCTGTGGATTGCTCTCAGTTCCAGCGTTATCCTGTTCAACAAATGGGTTCTCGCCAGCGCCAAGTTCAGTATGAACCCCTTCTGTTGCAATCCCCTATTATTTCGCTTTGGACTGGGCTAACTTTTATTGCTTCTAGACTTCCGTGAGTCTCTCCGCCGCCGAATCGATATTTAGCCGCGTCCGGAGAAATAAATTACTAACATGAGATACCAGCGCTCTTCTTGACCACCTGGCACATGGTCTTCGCCACGGCGATGACCCAGATTCTCGCCCGGTTCACTACCGTGCTTGACTCGCGCCACAAGGTCCCTATGAACCCGGCCACCTATACGTGAGCAACCCCGATGATTCAATACGGAATATCTAGCATGGCTGCAATCCGACCCAGATGTTCGATCGCTGACTGGTGGATTTGTATACAGGCGCGCCATTGTGCCCATTGGTGTCATGTTCAGTTTGAGTCTGATCTGCGGTAACTTGGCTTACCTCTACCTGAGTGTTTCCTTCATCCAGATGCTCAAGGTGCGTTTGAACCGGGAGTTCGGCTTCGTTGCGATCTCCGTTCGCGCTCTCAAATTCTAGGCTCGACATCCATGCTAATACCATGTTTTTTTTTTTTTTTTAGGCCACCAACGCTGTCGCGACCCTTTTGGCCACTTGGGCTTTCGGAATCGCTCCTACCAACTTGAAGACCCTCGGCAATGTGGCTCTCATTGTTGTCGGTGTTGTGATTGCCTCGTTCGGCGAGATCAAGTTCGAGATGGTCGGCTTCCTCAGTATGTGATATATTATCTGGTATATTTGACATTCTAGTCCTAACAACCATACAGTCCAGATTGCCGGTATCGTCTTCGAGGCCCTCCGTCTTGTCATGGTTCAGCGTTTGCTCAGCTCCGCCGAGTTCAAGATGGATCCCTTGGTCTCTCTGTACTACTACGCCCCGGCCTGCGCTGTCACCAACGGTATCGTCACCCTCTTCGCTGAGGCTCCCCGTCTTACCATGGGTGATATCTACGGTCTCGGTGTCGGAACTCTCATTGCCAACGCACTGGTTGCTTTCCTTCTTAACGCTTCCGTTGTTTTGCTGGTAGGTTGTTTTATCTCATAGTAACCAGGCCATCACTAACACACCAATAGATTGGCAAGACTTCTGCTGTTGTCCTGACCATGGCTGGTATCCTCAAGGATATCCTCCTTGTCGCTGCCTCCATGTTCATTTTCCGCGACCCCGTCACTGCCCAGCAGTTCTTCGGTTACTCCATTGCCCTGGCTGGTCTGGTGTACTACAAGCTCGGTGCTGAGAAGTGCCAGAGCCTTGCTACCGATGTGCGCCTCCAGGTTGGTGAGTACAACCGCAGCAACCCTGCCCGCACCAAGGCCATCCTTATCGGTGTGCCTTGCGCTCTCATTCTGCTCGTTCTCTACAGCGGTAGCTCCACTCCCGCTGCTGCTCAGGTGACCCACTAAGCACGAACGCGCGTACATTGGCGAACTGAAGCAATCGACGGAAATTTGGAACGCGCGGAGCACATTCCGCGTGGGCCTATTGTTTCACGAATCCAAGCTCGGGTAAACAAAACCCAGGCTTATGTTAAATTTTGATAAAGACCATGTCTTGTCTTGTCTGGACAAGACAGAGCATGCATGTAAAGTTAGGGGATATAGACGATATCTGGCTGTTTTCATTGGGGATAGGATTTATAATAAATGGCTGTATGAAATTGATATATTGTATCGACTCCACATTCATTCCTGGTATTTCCATTGCGCAGTGCAAAATACAATGTACAATGGTTCCAATCCTGAGATTCAGGTAGACATGTATTCCTCAAAGATGGCGTGGCATATCACATCATTCCTTTCAAGGATAACGCTTGAACGAAACATCCGCCAGACCATAACAAACAGCCCCGAGAGCAAAAGTAGCAGCAAAGACCGAAACCCCAACGACATATCCGAGTGAGTCTTCCACCGGAAACAGGGCAGTCCCATATAACTGCGCTAAAGCAGCAACGCTACTCATCCACGCGAGCATGATCGCACGATCATCACGAGTAACCGAAGCCAGAGCCGTAGTAGCAAATGAAAGAGCCAGCGCGTTTCACGTCCAGAGCGTCATGTTAAGGAAGCACAGAAATACATATCGCGCAGTATAATTTCGAATACCCGCCGTAAGAGCGAAGAACACCATCCCGACTATCATAGTGCCCACCAATAGCTGTCCCCTAGTATGGAGTTTGTGGTCAGCGAACCAGCAAATCGGATAGCGGCAGTTAGTGAGGCGATATAGAGTGGAGCTGTCATGTACTGCGCTGTGGTGGATGTGTATCCTATGTCATTGACTAACGTGGGATAGAAGTATGGGATTGCCCCAGCTCCCACAAGGGCCATGTACCCCGGGGCCAGTACCCAGGTTCGCCAGTTTGAGAGTGCTTTTAGCAATAGTATAAAGATAGAGGTATTCTGATTTCTTGAGTCGCCTTGGTCGGCGATTCCGTCTTTGATGAGTCTCTGTTGGGCTAGCTTTCGTTCTTCGGGGGATAGTCCCCGACTGCTGTGTGGGTAGTCTAGTAGAGTCCCGTGGACGATCAGGCTTATTCCGGCAGTTGCGACTCCTTCGACTATGAAAAGCCATCTCCAGCCGCGGGTACTGTGTGCGCCGTCTAATATCGATGTGATGGCTCCTGATATTACACCACCGAAGGCTCCGGAAAGTATTCCTGCGGTCAGGAAGACGCTGAGCCGTTTAGATCTGTTTCTAGTAAGTGATATTTCAAGACTGCGATAATGTATAAGCAAACATACTGCTCGTTCTTTCGATACCAGGTAGAGATTAAGAAGATCACGGCTGGCTTGATCAAAGTTAAAGGTGAATTGAGGGAATATTGTTCAAGTCACTCACACTAAACCCTACTTCAAAGACCGCAAGAAGGAATCTTGGGGTTATTAGTTGGCTCTGGTTACGGACGGCTCCTATCAAGGCCGCGACAGGTCCCCATGCAAACGTGATTATTGGAAGGAAAACCGATGGGCGAGTTCGAGAGAGAATCATGCTAGATCCAGACTTAGCATTTTGCATGTGGGACACAAAGCTTTCATCTTACTTGGATGGTACTGCAGAGATAGTATAGCCAATGATCCATACTATCACGGCTATATAGCATTGGTGTGATGTGAGGTGCAAGTCCTCTTCCATTCCGGCGATGTTTGCAAGGCCAATGTTCGATCTATCCTACATAGTACTTTCAGCGGAATATAGTTGGCAATTGCTAGGTTAATGTGTCATACTATGTAGGAGAAAAGATATAGAATAAAGATTGAAGGCATCAAATGAAGATCAATCTTTCGGACGAGCTTCTTCTCAGCGTCTCCGACAATGATATATCTGGCGATATCCTCAGAGTGCAGATCCTGAGATTTGCTGTGTTCGACAGATGTAGACATATCGGCGATATTTAATTATATCAATAGCTAAATAAACGGGTGATTTTAGTAGGGGAGATGACTTTGTTCAACTAGGATTCCAAGCATTTAGAGTAGTCTTATATCGTCGAATTCAGGGGGTTGTCAGTCTACATGGAAAAATCTTGCTCGACCGGGCCAATACTCGAGATTAGGTAGGGTTGAAGATGCTGAGTGGTTGTCGATACGATCTTGTTCGATGGTCCATAGACATTCCACAACATCGTGTTGTAGCAAAGCCCAAATCAAAACATTCCGTCCAAGGCTATGGTAGGGCTATCTACAACTATACCGAAAACCAACGGGTATATAGAACCATGTAGGCAACTAACTCTATAAAAAGTTGAGATTAGAGACTTTCTGTATTGAAGTCCCATTTGGATTCTGTAGCTGTTTGTCCAGTCTATTTGAAGCGTGTAAAAGCCCGACTGGTTATGGGCGGAGTTGGCCGTTTACGGAAATGTGTCATTGTTGCGCGTCCGGGCCCAGACGTGCCCCAATGTCTTAAATTTTATTTCGCTATCCAAACTTTGACATTTGTCAGTGGCTTCGTATTAAATCTGAAGCTTTTCAACTGTTGAAAATAGCAGATCAAATATTTGGCCATGGCGACCAATAGAGGGATTGTTGTCATATCAGGAGGAAGCGCAGCGAACAATCTTGTCGATGTATTCAACGCCGTCCGCGAAAGCAAGAATTGTCCACTCAGCTACATCATTCCAATCAGCGATAACGGAGGATCCTCTTCCGAGTTGATTCGAATATTCGGTGGCCCTGGGATCGGTGATGTTCGGAGTAAGCCCAACACCTTGGATCTTCCCTAGCTCGCCTGCTAACTTGTCGGACAGGTCGATTGGTACGCCTGATTCCGGATTCACCTGCAAACTCTGAGAGGTCAGCAGTTAAGGCATTGTTTAACCATCGGCTGCCTGCGGAAGCAGACATCGCAACCAATGAATGGCAGTCCATCGTCGACGGCACATCAGGGCTATGGACAGCTATCACCCCTGCAAAGAAAGAGTTGATACGCTCCTTTTTCAATGTATTAAACTTGGAAATCTTGAAACGAGCCCGACCGCCATCATCAACCTTTGACTTTACCTCCGCAAGTGTGGGAAATCTTTTTTTGACTGCCGCCCGGTTGTTCAGTGGAAGTTTCGAAAGTGCCATCTATCTACTCGGGAGTATCTGTGGCGTCCCGTCAGATCTGGTGCGCGTAATCCCAGCAATCAACTCCAATTTCTCCCACCATATCTCTGCATCGCTTGCGGACGGAACTGTTATTGTCGGTCAGAACAGCATCTCGCACCCAAGCGAGGCAACGGCCCTTGAGCATAATTCCCGCTCTAGGAGACCGAGTTTGCTGCTTGCAGATGGAGATGATGTCGATTACACTGATTCCGAAATGTCGGACCCGACGACATACGAAGAGGATCATCTGCCCGGCTCTCTGGCAACTCTCCGCAACAAGAATATCAAGTTCAGTAAATCCGAGAACGAAGATTTGAGTTCTAGAATCACTCGCATCTGGTACATCAACCCCTACGGTCAAGAGATTCGACCACCTGCGAATCCGCGCGTGCTGGAAGCAATAAACGATTCCCAGGCCATTATCTACAGTATCGGATCTCTCTACACATCAATCATCCCTGCCATCGTCCTGCGAGGCGTAGGCAAAAGCATCGTCTCCAGTCCAGCCCGACACAAGATCCTCATTTTGAACGGATCATTGGATCGAGAAACGGGGCCTCCATCCGCACCATTTGCTGCATCTGATTTTGTGGAAGCGATTGTAAGCGCTGGCGAAGAAAGCCGTGGAAGGGGCCCAATTGTTCATGCTCAACATCAAATTCAGAGTCAGCACCCCGCGACCACTTCAGGGCAAGAAAATGTTCGAAATTACAGAGCCCTTCCCTATACCAACTATGTGACTCATATCTTGCATCTGGATGGTCCGGGGACACCGCATGTGGACCGTGAGCGGCTCGCGCATATGGGCATTGAAACGCTTCGTCTTTATGGACGAAAAATCATCTCGAAGGATGGTGATAGGGAAACCGTTGTAGGGATGCAATATGATCCTAATGCCCTTGTGCAGGCTATTGAGGTAGTGTTGGGGAAGAAAGGGGATGCAATGGTTCGAGGGGGCCTGGGAAATGCGCTGGGTCGACGGAATACACTTGATCCTGCAAGAAGGGACCGATAGGTTATGCGATCTGTTTAGAAGTTAAGATTGTACTATAATATACCTCGATATACAACTACATTTACACATAATGTAGATCAGTAAAAAAAGGAACTCCATTCGTCAATCCCAGGTCGTTAACCACAGACGTAAATCGCTTATGCAGAATATAAAAGCAAAAAAAAAAAAAAAAAAAAAAAAAAAAAGAATTACCATGCTCCAAGTCGCAATGCCGCAAGATTTAAGATAAAAACAAAGATTAGAAGAACCGAGAGAAGAACCGATGAAAAGGCGCTATGCGCCAGATACGGGAAGATCACCTCGCTTTTTCGTTAGAAACAATAGTGGAATGAGATTCTTAGCCTTCCCAGGCGTCTCCTTTCGTGAGATTGGCGTGCGGCACACCGGGCAGGTACCCTTGTGTTGTTTCGAAGAGTCACCGGTGCGTGTTTGTTCGCTCATCTTCAAGCAGTCGATGATGCACTTGTGACAAAAGAGATGCCCTGAACATGAGAAGTCAGTAAAGCCCTAACATACTCAAAGCCTATATCTTATAAATTCAAGAACATACCGCATGAGGTGCTCGTTGCGTCCACAGGCGTCTCCATGCAAATGGGACATTTGTAGGCGAGTATAGCGGAGAGGTTTGAATTGCTCTCCGCTGATGCCTGCGCTTTAATGGCATCCTCCCTCTGTTTGGCGACTGTTCGAGCGAGTGCGGCCGCGCCTGAGTCGTCGGTCATATCGATCGTTTCGATGGGCTCGCCTTCGGAAAGAGTCGAAGAGGAGGATGTGATGGAGTCACCGTGCTCATCACTCCAATGACGGCGGCGCTTGACACCGCGCGCAGTAGGCAATTGTCCATGTTGGGAAGAGGATGCGTGATTTGAGGCGGTAGGCGGGGAGGAGGATAAAGAGATAGGATTTTGCCGGGATGACCTGGTTGTCAGGTCGACAACATCAGCTCGGTTCCTGCTCATTGTGACAGACTGGGAAGTATGACTCTTTCTAAGAGGGTTGCGCCAGGGTTGAACGAGGAAAATGTCTGGAATTGGAGAAGAAAGTCGTCTGCGGCTATGTTTGCCGTGTGCGGGAGGACGTGAGACGATTTGGAATTGGTGGCCAACAAACAGCCTCAGGATTTTAAAGGATTTCGTTCAAAGACAAGGCAGTTATGATGGGTTTGAGCAGAAGAATCGTCAGCAAAATCGGGGGCCTCTTCAGCGATCAAAGCAGGTGATCCATGGATGGCGACAATGCCGGAGCTTATCAAAGAGGTCATGTGGCGATAATGGATCAGATAAGCCCGCCTGTCTGTTTAAATTGGAAAGCGGTCAGTGAGTTAATTAATGGAGGGGTGTTCATTGGAAGATCGTAGCCTCACGTGGTCAAGGCACGTCCATAACGATAGAATTTCCAAGGTTTTGTCTGCAAGTAGAAGGCGGTCAATGCCATAGGGAAAACCATATTCCGATCTGCATGACGCCCAGAACTCAGATATCGAGCGATAGGCGATGATATGGGAACTACCTACCAGTACTTCTTTTCTAGGATTTTCTTTGGGCTATCAGGGCAGCCTTACGGCTGTGGCCATACTTCTAATATGACATAACAGCCAGATTCTTATTTTATGATGTTATCTTGGAAGTCCTCCTGCGCTCCTTGTTCCAGGGGTGCCCTGCGGTCTTTCTCGCCGCCAAATTCGCCGCTTTTGGTTAAGCTGCCATCACGGTACCAATTACACAGAAGTCATACCAGACTTTCCTCTACTTCCGCCGGCAATGTTAACGCAGCACGATCTCTTTCTGGTGGGTGCCCTGTCTTTTGCGCTTTTCGATAAGACAACAATCAAATCGCAATTACTGATCTGGCGCAGTCCCTTCCTCATCTCGATTCAACGAAATCGGAGTCCAGCAGCTCAGCGACCATGTCCATGCTCAAGTCTTCCCAAACAAAGGTCGCATTCCGGACCCAGAACTAGTCGCACTTTCGAAGGATCATTTGGCTAGACATGAGCTGCTGGGCAAATCTCAAAATGGCGCCGGCCCTGTCGCATTCGATCTTCCTGCTCTCAAGGGGCAAACATTGGACGAGCATTTCTACAAACTCGGAATGGATTCTTCCGAACCTTACCTGTCCTGGGCTAAATCATATGCGGCTCTCAACTGTCCAGCCAAACCGCGCAAATGGGTCAAACGCAGTGGATGGACGAAATATCATACCGATGGCACTTCTGAGCCTGTTGATGCCCCTAATGAATCGATGTTAACGTTCGACACGGAGGTCATGTACAAAAATAATTCATTTGCAGTCATGGCTTGCGCGGTAAGCCCGACCGCATGGTATGCATGGTTATCACCGTGGCTACTCGGCGAGTCAAAGAATGAAACACAGCTGGTACCCTTGGGAGACCCCACACAACCCCGCATTGTGGTTGGGCACAATATTGGTTATGATCGAGCCCGAATCCTGGAGGAATACAATATGCAGCAGTCTCAAAACTTCTTTCTTGACACAATGTCCCTCCACGTGGCGGTCAACGGCATGTGTTCACAGCAGAGACCAACTTGGATGCGCCATAAAAAGAATCAGGACATGAGGGACAAAATCGCGAATGAACACGATTCCGTGGAGCTTGCCGCACTTCTCGAAAACAACATGTTAAGGGAAGAGGAGGAAGAACTTTGGGTAGGACGAAGCTCGGTGAACTCCCTTCGTGATGTGGCAAAATTCCACTGTGATGTCACCATAGATAAGGCGCAGAGGGATTTCTTTGGTGAACTTGATCGTGACTCTA